ATGTACACCTTACAATCATTCCATATACCAAATATAGTAGACCTACTGCTTATAGTATCTGATATATGGACTTGACAACGAAAACTTAACCTTGTTCACTGATCCATGAAATGAGGTTGAGGTCAAATGAAAATTGTCTAACGGGCATGAGGACCTTGCAAGGTATGCACATACTAAATATATTTTTCCTATTACTCATAATAAAAAAGAAATTAACATTACAAAAAATGTTGACTTTTTTTTCAAGTAGTCACTGAACCATGAAAATGAGGTCAAGGACAATGGACATATGACAGACGGAAACTTCGTAACATATAAGGCATCTGTATACAAAGTATGAAGCATCCAGGTCTTCTAGCTTCTAAAATATAAAGCTTTTAAGAAGTTAGCTAACGCCGCCGCCGGATCACTATCCCTATGTCGAGCTTTCTGCAACAAAAGTTGCAGGCTCGACAAAAAAATGATCAAAACATTAACAAAACTGTGTCCATGGTGTAAGTGAATAATATAAAGACATAAATAACTACAGACAAGTTTTTATTGATATTCAATATGAAGATCTCCCACTTGTGTCATAATAGCCAGGGAAGCCATCGTCTCAGAGTAGCTTCTGTCAGGCCGGCTATCAGTGAAAGGGTTAAGTAATTGTCCATTAACCAGGCAACCCTTGTTTTTCCCCCTTTTTTGCCCCTAATTCGTAAATGGTTTGAGCCATAACCCCCCCAAAGAAAATCTGAACTATCCCTTTGTGGTATGGAAACTTGTGGTATAATTTCAGAGAGATCCATGTACACCGTTCCACAAGTTATTGTCTGGAAACTAGAAAAATGCTTATTTGGGCCCCTTTTTGGCCCCTATTTCCTGAACTGTTAGGACCATAACCCCCAAAATCAATCCCAACCTTCCTTTTGTGGTTATAAACCTTGAGTTTAAATTTCATAGATTTCTATTTCATTATACTAAAGTTATTGTCTGGAAACCAACTGTCTTTGGACGACAACCACGTGATACAAATATACGACCGCAAAATTTTTTGAGGTCGTATAAAAAGTTAACAATTATAGGTCAAAGTACAGCCTTCAACATGGAGCCTTGGATCACACCGAACAGCAAGCTATAAAGGGCCCGAAAATGACTAGTGTAAAACAATTCAAACAGGAAAACCAACAGTCTAATCTATATAAAAAACGAAAAACGAGGAACACCTATGAACTACACCAACAAACGACAACCACTGAACAACAGGCTCCCGACTTAGGACAGGTGCATAATAATGCAGCTTGTTTAAACGTTTTAACAGGCGCCATCCTTCACCCTAACCCGAGACAGTAGTGTAACATTACAACATGAAAAGACACACTATAAAATATCAATTAAAATGGCTTAACTCGATCAACAAGACATTTAAACAAAAACGAGAAAACATACACTGATGAAATAAGTTTGATCTATGACACAATACTGTATTAAGAGACCACTCAAAGGAGAGGGCAAAAGTGGTCTCTTAATACAGGTAGTCTTTGAATACAGGTCCCCCAATTTGAATAGAAGGAAGCATTTATGTGTATCTCAATGTTTGAACGTACTAATGAAAGTACACAATACGGTATTGGTCTCGAATGTATATCCGCTAGGACTAATTATGAGAACTGTTCATTATGTAGATAAATTTTTCTTTGCCTTTTTGCATTTTCGTCAAATTTTTTTCATATATCACTAGCAAATGACTAGACAAGGTTCTTGTTATATTTTATCCATTTTAATTCTTGTGAAATTACCCTAGGGTGCAGACTGCAGAGCCTTCAAATGTTCTCAAGAATTTTTATATTAATTGTCTCACTATATATGTAACTCAGGCAACAGTATTGCTTCTCAGCTTGAGAAAAGACTCCATCACAAATTTGAGAATACGTTTTATTCAATTAAAAATATAATTTGATAGCTTGTTCCTTATAACAATACTAACTATATTGTGTAATCATCAACTTCATCATTGCCATAGTAAAATAATAAATAGTTACTTAAAAAAGGAGGGTTTAGCATGTTTAGTGACATATTTGATTCATGGTAAATGGAATTTGCACATGAAAAATCTGTGTAAATTTCACCGATGATCAGAGGAATATTTTTAGTAAATAGTTACATGTACTTTTATAAATTGTGACTTGGATGGAGAGTTGTCTCATCAAGCTCATTGGCACTCATACCACATCTTCTTATATCTAAGTATTGTTGATTTATGACATTCCAAAAATCAAAAATCATTTCTCAATTTGATCTACAGGTCTTATAACTTTATTAAACAAAAACAAAGTTTGTATTATCAGCTTGGGAATTGGCTTGTACATCTGTCAGTGTGTATGTAAGGATTTGTTGTAAAGCCAGTTGAAAGATTTGTTTAAGATCAAAGTCATTTGAAAAATTGCTTATTATTGTAATAGTGTTGATTAAAGTTGATGGTACTAACTTCTGCAATACATATGTTTTTAGTATAATTATGCATAAACAATGATAAACTTACAGTCCACATTATTAATATAAACTTTAAACTTCTACAGCATCAAATTTAGACATTAAATAGGTCGCCCATATTGGTGGGGTAACTGCCGGCACTGGCATGTGGCATGGAAAAAAGGGGGGTACTATCTGCGATTGCTGGGTCGGTGAGGTCACAAAAAAGGAAGCCATCATTTTGATAATTACTATTCATATTGTCCATATTGTTCATGAAGGGCTGGCTGGACATGTAATTGTTCATCAGAAATGTTTGTTGTAAACATGCAACCGCCATGATGGCGGACAAATCAAACACACCCACATTTGGCTCAACTTTACCCTTTGCTTTTTATTCGCTTTTTCTTTGGTCGACAGGACTCTTGTGGTGAAGCCATTTGGAACTAACAAATTATTTTAATACGTGTACCATTATACTGCTCAGTCTTCTAAAATAGTTACTGTCTACATTTTTTCAGAGCCGGTGTAAATAAACTGCCATACAACAAGGGAGATAATTGATTATTAATATATACTTTAAAGTTTAAGTAATTCTCTTCACCACCTGACCACAATGTTTCATGCATATACAGATATATACTATGTATACAGATATAAACTATGTATAGTAATTCTGAAAAATACAATGATACCTGCAGAATTCTAAGCTGCAACCTCAGGATCTAAAGGCATTACACTAGCTAGCTGCTGAACCATACTCTTAGGTCCTTATGAAGTTTTTTGACAATTTGCAGTTTGTCAAATGTTCAAAAAATTCATAAGGACCTAATATATGATACCGCAGCTATGCTATGCACTAACTGACTGAGCCTAAAGATCTTTCCTTATTTAACAGAGTTAGATTCCATTTGAATCCCTAGATACAATTGTATACAACATAGTCAAGAAATATTATGGTATTTGTCGGACACAAGATGATGTTTGACACAAATGTAGCTGTTAATATACACCTTATCGCTATTTGGAAATCTGTCCCGCTTGAACTATTGACGTCATACAACAATCACTTTTCCATTGCAGTGATCGGGAAGGACGTGCGCCATGCGCCAATTGCGCTTTTTGACCAGAAATGGCGCATAGAGTGACAAATGTAAGTGCCCATGTGGCGCACAATATTTTTCACTTCGTTTTGAAACGTTTAGATATCCTAAAATGGATTTCCCATCGTGTTTCGTGTCGCCATGTGTGTGTGTACAAAACTGTGTAGTGTTAGCTCCAACGATAGGAGCACCGCCTGTATATTTTTGGGACGTCTCGGGCGTTTTCCTATGGTAATAACACTAACATGCGGTATAACTGATTACCGAAAAAAACGTAATTAGTTTAAACATATTTATTTATAGTGGATTGGAAAACAAGTTATTGCAACTTATATTAATTCCTTTCCAAAAAACGTTTTTAACCATCATTCATGGTATAAATTTTTATAAACAACTTAAAATTTGTGAAATTTGGCTAGTACAGACGAGATTTTTTTTCTCTAATTATAATCTTTAAAGTAAGCTTGCTATTTTGATTGAAAAACCCAAAAGCCTTTTTATGAATTAAGTATTTGTCTCCACAAAAGGCGCTAAAATGTCCTTGTCAATTTTTGGTCTTTGGCTCGTTTGAATATTTTGTAAACATGCCATTTCAGCGAATTTTTGTTGTCCCTTATCAATTAACGAAACTCTCTACTGTTATTTCTTGTCATCGTGATGATGTTATAATAATACAAGAAGTGCAGAGGAAATGTCAGAAACGTCCTCTAATACGGAACGTCTGGAATAAAGGATGGCAATCGTCGAAGACCCAAATGTAATGTAAAAAAAAACATGAACATGAACAAGGCAACAGTACCAGTTTTAACATTGTAGATAAAGGTTATCGTAAATATTGCCCGGTTTTGGAAGAAATTATTCATTGAAATTGAAATTACAAAAGCACAGGAACAATATCCATGATATCAATTAGAATCATACCAGTAACCACTACCTCTTTGCTGAAATATACACTTTTTCTTTTTCTTTTCATTGTAAACGAATGGCCCACACATTTGACAACATGGCCCATTAATTCTAAAAATGGCCCATTGAATATATGTTTGGGGGGCCCTGGGCCCATAGAGAAAAAATCCTTCCAGATCACTGCATTGTGGCATCAGATATTTTGTATTATGAAGTCAAAATTTTACGGGAACCTTTGTGATGTCCAGTAATAGCGGACAAATAGCGATAAGGTGTATTGTAAAAACTTACAAATTAGTTCAAGGATTAACACAATAATTTAATTAAACTTACAACACCTTCAATTTTAACCCGTCAATCATCATCATTGTACCACATCATCACCCTTACTGCAATCATCATCATTGTACCACATCATCACCCTTACCTCAATCATCATCATTGTACCACATCATCACCCTCACAATATATACATTATCAAAAATCAGGAAGGAGAAAAAAGTAATTTTTAATTAAATTTATGGACCGAGAAATTCTTACCTGGGGCGGAGCAATCCGCACACACCTCTGTGGCGGTCCTTCCTTTCACCCTGGACATGAAAACTAATGCAGATGAGTAAGAATCTGCATAAAAACAATTGAAAGAGATGACTGTTTACTAAAGATTCATCACACAATAGTGTACTTCCATTTTGATCAACAGTTTCGTACATATGAAAGCTAATTATATTTTACAAATGTTAACACAGATTTGTTTTATTTTCATAAAATATAATTTTTCATAACTTTAATTTCTATTTTTCATGAAAAAAATTACAAAATAGAAATTTAATACCAAATCGCAGTTTCGTATTTTCTTTTTTATGTCGTAAAATAGGAAAAAAAATGTGTTTTTTAAGATATTTTTTTTGCAAATAGTTCTTAGAGCTATTTATTTATTTCTGCTACCTTTACCTATATTCAAAGAGCTGGTATTTTGTTTGATAAGTAGTGTCGTAAACCACACGGAAGAAGATTTATAACCGACCACAACAAATGAGTCATATTTTCGTCTGTCAAAATGTATTTTCAAAGTGAAGAGAATAAGTTTTAGACAGAATGTCAGCTAAGACATTAGGAGAACAATTCCCACTTCACTGGCTAGTTTGGGATAACAATTTTAGTGAATTAGACATAGAGTTGGCAAAGGACATTGTGAGTACAGTATTGATTTCTGATGATTTTTGATTTTAATAGAAAGTGATTAATTTCTTCCTCATTACTAATTCACTAGGTCAAAATCTGTTGTTAGATCAGTTACTGGGTTCTCTAGCCAAAGTTTTGAATTAAGTCTTTTCGTACAATTTGTGATTTTACTGGGATCCATATTGGATTTTTTTTAGCCCTTTATTTTTTTTTATTTATAGATATGCATATGTGCAATCAATTTAATAATCATGAGGCAGGTGTTGCATGTGAAAGAGGACACAGTCCTTATTAAAGAATTTTATTTTTATTATATTGTTGTCACTATTCTTTTAGACTTTTTGGTAATCAGATATACAACTTAGCTGGAAATCATATGCGCTAAAGTTTTTAAACTGATTATGCTATTTTTGCTTTACAGAAAGTCAACATACCTTTGCTAACTGGTACCATTCCAAATACTAAATTTAAATTAGGACAGTCTATCCTGAATTTGGCGGTATTAACTTGATTTTCATTCCTCATCCCTAATCAAAGAATAAATAAAGAATTTATTATTATATTATTATTATTATTATCCCAAATTTATATAACGAGAGAGAGGCGAAAGGTACCAAAGAGACATTCAAACAAACAAGTCGAAAATAAACTGACAACGCTATGGCTAAAAAAGAAAAAGACCAACAGACAAACAATAGTACACAAAACAAAACATTGAAAACTAAAGACTGGGCAACAGGAACCCCACCAAAAACTGGGGGTGATCCCAGGTGATTTTGAAAGGTAAGCAGATCCTGCTCCACATGAGGGTATGAATGCCCTTTACCATTTGTTTACCGTCAGGGGCAAGGGTCCTTAAACGGTCATATTTGCCAGTCATGACCTCAACTGAAAGCTATTTGTCCTAAACGAAAAATTGGGAATTAGGACAAATTTTATTTTTTTACAGAAATAATTTCTGTCATTTTATTGAGATCAGGTTTCTTAATCGCCATTTTGCACTTGTTTTTGTTTTATAATCCCTTTCTGTAATAAAACTGCCAGTCCAGTATAGTTTGATAATCATTATATCTATATTAATGCCTTCGTGAAATATTGGCTACTGATCGCTAATCACTTTTTACCTGTGTTTTTAATTCACACCTGACATTGATCACAAGCTCAGACCTAATATCATAAAGAAATTAAAATTCCATGACAACTGTATTCCAGGGTTCTCACTAAGGATTTTTGAAGATGAGTCCAGGGACTCGTCATTTTTGGCCATGGTGAGTCCAACAGTAAGAAGAAGATATTTTATTGCAATATAATTTATCATTTTAGTCTCCATGACCTAATTATAGAGCAATGAAATAACATTAAATTCAAATTACTTTAAACTTTTGCTATAAAATGATGATATGTGTGTTCAGTTTATACAAAATATTTCAATCTTGATGCATCTTTGGACACACCAGTTTTGAAAATGGTGAGTCTAGACAGATTTTCATGAGTCCAGATGGACTCGCCTTAGTGAGAACCCTGTATTAATTATTTTCAGCAAAGACATTCAATTATTCTGATTTAAAATTCAAAACTTAATTAAATTTACATAGAAAAAAGTTATTTTTCATGAGTAACACATGTGCTTTATTTACTATGTTATATGCATGAGTGAAATTGTCTTCTCTACTTAATCGTAAAATGCAAAATGATTTCATGCTAAATTAAACGAGTGCAACTATTATCTGTTATATTCAAACACAGCAAAAATTCCGGTTTTAATTTCGTCTTCAAAATTGAAAGAAACCATGAACGTTAGCCATGTCTGAGAAATTACCTTTTTGAGTCATTAAATCATTTCAATTTTAAACTGGTCTTGAACGTTTTTAGAAAACTGGTAAGTAAATGTGATGAAACAGTCAATACAAGTTCGTTGATGCTATGAATATCTACTCTAGTGTGATGACGACAATTTGAAAAAAAGCATCAACTTTTAAGTCATCTGAAAATAACCGCAATTGTGTGAAAAAATTTCCAGATCCTTGGTCAGGTGTCAAACAGTCATTTTCGTCTACTGTTAGCGTTAAATTGGTTAAATTTTATCGTGATTGGTCAAAATATCCTTATCGTGATTCGTCATAGGTCTAAAAAAATTATCTGTTATCGTTATTTTTGGGAAGAATTAAACATGATTCGTCAAAATCAGCATGATCAGTCGAATTTTTTTATCATCATAGATAAACAAAAATGATTAATGTACATTTTATCGTCATGCACCAAAAACTACTGTTAACATCATTTGGCAAGATTTTTTACCATTATTTGTCATGAAGGTATATACCCCCATTATGACCCTCATATTATGGATATCAAATCTTAAAGCAAGCCACATTCTGGATTTTCTTATTTTCAACCTGAAAAATTTGTTCATTGTTGTTGGTTTCCCATTTTGAACTTTTCCCAAGGGAGATAATGTTTTCATCTCCTGATTATTGAGGGCATTGTTATCAAGCAAATATTTGAGCTTGTATGGGACTTTCTAGCTGTAGTCCTCTATCTGTATGTCAGCTGAATTGTGAAAAAAAGTGGTGGACGAATTATCACTGGCAAGAAAGTTTTTATCCCGCCTTTGATGGAAATTATGGTTAAATTCAGAGGCTGGTTGACAAAATTAAACAATAGGGATATCACATGCCTTTTAAAGTTTTTGCAAAGTGCAAAATAGAGAACGCAAAGGTGGCCTGAATGAGGTTTCATGACAATAAAACAAGGTTCAATCTACCATTTTCTACATTCATGACATAAGGAAATGCCTGTACTAGGTTAGGAATACTAGTATGACAGTTGTTCCATTCGTTTGATTTGTTTGAGCTTTTGATTTTGCCATATGATGAGGGGCTTTCTGTTTTGAATTTGCCTTGGAGTTCGGTATTTTTGTTACTTTACTTTTTTCAAGGCATGCAAGACCGTCCAACTTCATTAGAAGTACTTCACAGCTCAAAACACTTCCAAGTCTGTCAGCGTAACTTCTTTGTATGATCAAATGATTAGTAACTGTAGACGGTCAACTATTCATAAGACTTTTTCCTTGCTATGAGTTACATTAGACTTGCAGAAAAGGAATCAAGTTTAATAGTTCAATGAAATTACTTGAATTACAACTGGTGACACATTTTTGCTGTATATCAGACAATTGTTTTCATTGTTATAACACAATACACCAACTTTTTGAAGAAAGTGGAGATAACTCTTGTATTGTTTTTACAATAGCTGCTGTCCTTTCTGTATTAATGTTAACTCTATAGGGTTAAGTACTTGACTGTACATATAATACAGTCATATTGTTTATTTCTTCATCTATTCAGCATAACAAAGAATTGAAAGATCCCCGCGGAAGGACACCTCTCCATTTGTCTGTATGTCTGGGTCATGTGGAGAGTACTAAGACACTGCTTAGATATGGAGCCAATGCAAATGCTGAAAATAAAGGCTATTGGTCAGGTAAGTTTATGTATGATCATGATGATTGATGTAGGGTAAACTTTGATGTAAAATCAAGATAAAAATAAAGCTGTGGTCTGGTTGTCAATGAAACAAACACCTAAAACAGACCACATGACCAATAGACAAGAATTTTAATAACTACAGGTCACCGACAGTCTTCAACAAACAAAAATCAACCAACCTATTGTAGGAATGGCTACTTAGTAAAGTATAAATGCAGATACAATAAACATGATAAATGAAAGTTATTGATAAGAGGTGTTCCAGTTTATTTATGTATAGGACTAATGATAATGTCATGAATGTCAAAAAGTGATAGATATTGGTCAGGGTTTGAGTTAAGATACCTAACCATGCTTGAAACTACTTCATAGTTAAAAAAATGAAATGTTTATATTGAATATATGGTAAAGAATTCCTTGTAAAAATGTCAGGATCAGTGCTCTTTCATGGTCTCTGTTAAATTTATTCACAACTTTTTTTTAGACTATTGGTAATTTGTAGAGCTGATTGAATATACACACCTGAATTTTGCTGAATACCTTATGCTGACCTCTAGATGTCTCTTGATTTTTTGTGTCATTGGGTTGTTTAATTTTTCATTGATATACATGTATAACCAACACCTCATATTATTCATGTGTATATTATATTAATCAGTGTTAATAGCACATCAGAAGTCCGGACTATTACACATTGTATTCAAACCTAAGGGAGTACGAATAATAAAGAATAACAGTACTGTAGTTGAAGAGTTACCACTGTCAATTGGTGATTTAAATATAGTAAAAAAGATATTTCCCTATTGATGGCGACAACTCTTCAACTACAGTACTGTTATTCCTATACTAATGCCAGATTACAAAATGAAATGATATGTTAGAGCTTGAAAAAATGCTTGAATTAATATTTGAACATGTTGAAATAGAATAAAATTCTGTGAAACTTCATGATGTTGTTAAATTTTAGATTTTATTGTAGTAATCGAACATTTGTAGATCCAAGAAATTCAATATGGAGACTCACTCTTTAGTTACAATATCTCAGCACAGGGGCGCTTACGTATCATGGATGTTTTGGGGCGGAAATATATGCCAGTCGACTGGTATGTCTTATACATAATGTTAATAGGTCCGCTATTAACACAATGTATAACTCATACCAGTCGACTGGCATATATTTCCGCCCCAAAACATCTATGATACGCCAGTCGACTGGTATGCGTTATACATAATGTTAATAGGTCCGCTATTAACACAATATATAACGCATACCAGTCGACTGGCATATATTTCTGCCCCAAAACATCTATGATACGCGCCCCTGTGATCTCAGATATGGATTTGATGGTAAATTTAATTTTAGCCAATGAAAAAAGTTGTATAAGAATTACATTTTGTTATTCAGGGTATTTGAAACCTTTTTTTTTATAGTGTTACATGAAGCAGTCAGTACTGGTGACCCAGAACTAGTACAGATAGTACTAAAGCATAGGGACTATCAGAGATACAGTAAGAGAACTGTTGGTGTTCCAGAACTTCTACAGAAACTAAAAGAGGTATGTATAGAAGGACAGGGGGGGGGGGGGGGGGGTACTTATAAAGTGAAAAATGGAATTGAAACAAAATGAAATATAGCGAAACGCAACGAAATATAATGAAACAAAACGAAATGGAAAATGAAGGAATGTAATACAACGAAATCAAAGCGAAATAATATATTTTTAGCCCAATAGCACTTAAGAATCTGACCCTTTAGGTTTATGCAATTGTGTGGTGCTCTTGATAGTTATCATTGTTACAAGCACGTTCAAACAGTATATTTAAGATGAAAGGAAATACCCCTATGATATCTTAATTAATGATTGCAAATTAATTAATTGTTTATTAAAAGACTGCATACTTTTCTACAACCCTGTGTGGACGTGCAGTACTTGTAACGTACAATATAACACTTTGATGTTTTAAGAATACTTTTTAAGGGCTTTGTCTTTGATCCTGTCGGCTCTCTTTACATGCTTTATATGGGTAAGTTGTGAGCCTGAGAAAAAAAATTCAAAGGTCTTTGAAGTTTTCTAAAACCTATTCAGCACCAGATGTTGCACGGGCTTCAGCCGGGTATATATAAAAGGGAAATTTTTTATTCAAACTTTATTACACAAAATGGAGCCCAATGAGAAGGAAAAGGAAATGCAAGTACCATCATACATGTACATTTTAAAATTTATTTCGACAGTGCTTGTAGTTTAAGAAACAGAACTTAAAAACATTTTGATGTTGAGTCATTTCCATTTTCAGTAGCAAACTAGCTGATATCTGATATCTTAATGACAAAATATACAATATTTCAGTATTTTTCACTATATTTGGTGTATGTAATGATTGTAAGGTGAACATGTCCAACTGGCAGGTATCATCTGACTTTGACCTCATATCAATATTAAGGAAGAGGTGCACTATCTTAATAATTTGGTTTATATGATGCTAGTAAGATGTATATTGCTGTTTGGAAGATGTCATCTCACCTTGACCTTATTTTCATGGTTCATCGGTCAAAGTTCAATTTTCGTCATGTACATGTAGTTTGTTTCTGAGATACTTTAAGCAATTGGTTTACTATATTTCAGTGAAAGGAATGATTTTGTACAGCTTCCATGTCTGTCTGAAAGATTTATCTCACCTTCACTTCATGTTCATTTATCACTGCAATATCAATTTAATGTAAAGCTTGTAGTATAAACTTTTATTTTGACTTTCTACATTAATTCAGTTATGAACACTAAAACAGGCTACACATTTCACATGTTTCAGGGTGTCCACTTTTGTTTAAAACATTGACAAGAATTTAGATAATACAGATCAAACAGACTTGAGTGTTTAAAAATATGCTGTTTTAATGTAGTTGTAACAATGATAACTATCAAGAGCATAAACCTAAAGGGTCGGATTCTTAACTGCTATTTGGCTAAAAATATATTATTTCGCTTTGTATTTTGTGTCTTCATTTTCCATTTCGTTTCGTTACGTTATCTTTAGTTGCCTTTTGTTATATTTCGTTGCATTTTGTTATATTTCGTTGTTGAAGACCATATGTTGTCTCAAGTTTTTGTTGTTGTGGGGTTGCTGTTTAATTGGTGTGTTCCCTACATCTATCTCATTTTAATTGATATTATTTGAAAGTATTTTGTATGTTTTGACATCTGTAATAATATGACCTTGAGATAAGCATTTTTTTCTGATATTTGTCAAGCATGCAACATTTGTTGAGGAGTGAGACATAGCGATCCTACATTCCCTCATCAACTTTGGCTAAGTCAACATTTGCTGAGGAGTGAGACATAGCGATCCAACATTCCCTCATCAACTTTGGCATAGTCAACATTTGTTGAGGAGTGAGACATAGCGATCCTACATTCCCTCATCAACTTTGGCATAGTCAACATTTGTTGAGGAGTGAGACATAGCGATCCTTCATTCCCTCATCAACTTTGGCATAGTCAACATTTGTTGAGGAGTGAGACATAGCGATCCTACATTCCCTCATCAACTTTGGCATAGTCAACATTTGTTGAGGAGTGAGACATAGCGATCCTACATTCCCTCATCAACTTTGGCATAGTCAACATTTGTTGAGGAGTGAGACATAGCGGTCCTACATTCCCTCATCAACTTTGGCATAGTCAACATTTGTTGAGGAGTGAGACATAGCGATCCTACATTCCCTCATCAACATTGGCATAGTCAACATTTGTTGAGGAGTGAGACATAGCGATCCTTCATTCCCTCATCAACTTTGGCATAGTCAACATTTGTTGAGGAGTGAGACATAGCGATCCTACATTCCCTCATCAACTTTGGCATAGTCAACATTTGTTGAGGAGTGAGACATAGCGATCCTACATTCCCTCATCAACTTTGGCATAGTCAACATTTGTTGAGGAGTGAGACATAGCGTTCCTACATTCCCTCATCAACTTTGGCATAGTCAACATTTGTTGAGGAGTGAGACATAGCGATCCTTCATTCCCTCATCAACTTTGGCATAGTCAACATTTGTTGAGGAGTGAGACATAGCGATCCTACATTCCCTCATCAACTTTGGCAAAATTGGCATAGTCAACATTTGTTGAGGAGTGAGACATAGAGATCCTACATTCCCTCATCAACTTTGGCAAAGTCAACATTTGTGGAGGAAAGAGACATAGCGATCCTATATTCCCTCATCAACTTTGGCATAGTCAACATTTGTTGAGGAATGAGACATAGCAATCCTACATTCCCTCATCAACTTTGGCGACGTCAACACTTGTTGAGGAGTGAGACATAGCGATCCTTCATTCCCTCATCAACTTTGGCATAGTCAACATTTGTTGAGGAGTGAGACATAGCGATCCTATATTCCCTCATCAACTTTGGCATAGTCAACATTTGTTGAGGAGTGAGACATAGCGATCCTACATTCCCTCATCAACTTTGGCTTAGTCAATATTTGTTGAGGAGTGAGACATAGCGATCCTATATTCCCTCATCAACTTTGGCTTAGTCATGTTAGTCAACATTTGTTGAGGAGTGAGACAAAGCGATCCTACATTCCCTCATCAACTTCGACATAGTCAACATTTGTTGAGACGTGAGACATAGCAATCCTACATTCCCTCATCAACTTTGGCATAGTCAACATTTGTTGAGACGTGAGACATAGCAATCCTACATTCCCTCATCAACTTTGGCATAGTCAACATTTGTGGAGAAGTGAGACATAGTGATTCTTCATTCCCTCATCAACTTTGGCATAGTCAACATTTGTGGAGAAGTGAGACATAGAGATCCTACATTCCCTCATCAACTATGGCATAGTCAACATTTGTGGAGAAGTGAGACATAGTGATCCTACATCCCTCATCAACTATGGCATAGTCAACATTTGTGGAGAAGTGAGACATAGTGATCCTACATTCCCTCATCAACTATGGCATAGTCAACATTTGTGGAGAAGTGAGACATAGTGATCCTACATTCCCTCATCAACTTTGGTATAGTCAACAGTTGTGTTCAGTCTATGTTTTCTATTTAGACATCAATAGCTTTGTGAAACCTTCATGAAATTGATTAAAACTTGGACAGAAGCTTTTTCATGATCAAAAGACAGTACCCAGTGTTAAATTTTGAAATATTTTGTCATTTGTCTGTATTTCAATGATAAGTGGATTTAGTTTTTTTTTTCACAGTAAACATTAAGATACAATCTGGGCTATTTCAGATATAATAACCTTGTCAAAACTTCATGGAGCGTTTTTTAAACTTGGACAGAAGAATAGACACTTGCAGTGTTTCAGCTAGGTCGTTTTCACAGGGCGGTCCGCCCGCCCTTTCCCGAGGGCCGCCCTGTGCCCTTTTTACAGTTTTTTACCTTTTTTGAAGATCGATTGGTATATTATTTTGTTTGTATTGATATGATCAGCCAATTACGAAAATTTACCTGACGACAAGTATATGACTTTGTTTACGACCCCAAGCTAATCAACGGTTACAACAGGTGTCATAATCTGTTGTTATAGGTAATCCGTTTATCGGATGGGTCATTTAATGATCATCAACATTAATTCATTCAAATAGAATCGGTCAGTCGGCATTTGTCTTTGAACTTGAAGAAATGTTCATACAACTTGGGCACAATTAGCAATGTTTACCGTAGTTTCATGGAGAAAACGTAATTGACAGAAAGTTGAAAATCATAATCAACTCGTTAAAAACATTGCTCTTATTGTTTTCCGTGAAATAAATAGCAAATTAAGACGTATTTTTCATTGACTGCCTTCATTTTTTATACGAAAATAACAAAATCGGCCGCCATATTGTTGATCGTATCTACATCTTCTACATACTGTTTATTATCCTCCAAAGAAGGAGCACACCCAAATAAAGAAAGATAACTCAATCTTATTTTTTCCTAGCATTGAGTAACCTACTAAGATATTATAAAATATGTCTTCATACTTCTGGCTTTAGAATTTATATGTTTAGGTGTTTTGAGTTATGGGAAAAGTTAAAGAGGGTCTTAGTAGCAGGGCTGGTAGGGTGCCTTGGTCATCTTTTTCTGTATTTTTTATTTTCAATCCAAATTTTCACTGTTCACTATATCCTAACATTGTGCATTTACAGCTGTTTTGTGCTGTATTGCCATTAAGCACAGAAAAGGTAGAAAGGTGTTTAGTTTATGTTGTTTTTTTTGGAAAAGGGGGGGGGGGGAGGGTGAGCATAGTAAGTTAATTTACCTCTATTGGTTTATAGTGATGTGATGTATGAATGTGTATTGACATGTTTTATGAACATGTCGTACATGTCGTATGAATTACATTTTCTAATGCAAATTTTATAGAATAAATAATCAAAACAACAACTTATGCATCTTTATTAACAACATATACAGTAAAAAAAAGAATGTGAACTCGTGATACACACAGAAATGTAGACAAAAGAAATGAGCAGTGCCTTTTCCTTTCATAAAAAAGTGCCCTGCCCTCCACTGGCACCCTGCCCCTTTTGATTTCTAGCTGGAGCACTGAATCTTTATTAAAACATGCCCTTTTCATATTATCATATCACGCGTTAAATGCCCTTTTTCAGGATTGGCACCCTGCCCTTTTGAAATCCTAGCTGGAACACTGACTTGTCTATTGTTTGAAACAATTAATTGATCTAACCTATAGTTTTCTTCTGGGGTTTCATTTGTTCATTAAGCCCCCCCCCCACACACGTCTCCATTTATTCATATTTATTGGTGTTGTACTATGATGTTTGTTGTTTGATTGCTGTCTTATTGATGTTTACCCAACATTTATTTTCATCAATAATGAAAAATAAAATTTCATGGTAATGATCAAAGTATTAAAATCAAGCAAATCCCAGACTATCAAAATCTCTGATCCTTGTATTTTTATGAGGAATTCTTAATCATACACTTCATTTGAACTCTGGTGGATAGTTGTCTCATTGGCAATCATACCACATCAAAAGTTCATTGTATCTTTGAGCTTTTTTAAAATCTCCTGACTTTGAATTTTGGATATATTGCTGCAGTGGAATACAGATAGTATATGGTATATGATAAAAGTATTATTGGTGTACTTATGTGGAAGCATATATATATATTAGTCATTATAACAGGAAGTAATTCTAAATTAAATATATAACATTTCCTATGAGGAATAAAGTGTATTGTCACTTAAACAGGAAACTAGTGCTCAATGTAGGTAAAAGTCACTTGTTTATACTATTATCATATATATATCTCCTGTCAATGGAGTACACAATATTAAAAAAAAGCCAAATTCAGATAAAACTGACTGTTTGTTCAAATACGAAGTATAGATCCCTTAAAAAACTTTGCTTGGTATGCTAAATGACATAATTTAATCATCTATTTCAGTCTCCAGATTTTTATGTAGAGATGAAATGGGAGTTTACAAGCTGGGGTAAGTCTAAGATATACATAAGATTTTATATAGTTGGGATTCATTATTATTCGTGGGGTTCCAATTTTCTTTGATTTTGTGGGTATAGTTGAACCAAGAATTTAAATGTTCAACGAAGTACAAATTTCTTATAGGCTTGTTTGCAGACTTTTGTGAAACCACGAAATCAAATATCAACTTAAATACATTTTTTTCTCAATCTACAAACATGGGTACCTAAGAAACTAAATGATTCCACAGTATATAGAAATGGGAATTTACAAGCTAAAGTTACCCTGGGAAATTCTGAAAATTTATGTTCACAAGTTTGGATAAGCCTGAGAAATATAAGATTATATGTAGAGATGAAATGATGCTCACAAGCTCAGGTAAGTACGAGGTATGGATACGATTTTATGTAGAGATCAAATTGGAGTACAGTTAATATCTAAAAAAAGTTAAATTTATTCCTGTAAAATGATGATACTGATACAGCTAGGCCTTGTTATATTCATTTTTATAATGCTTATAGGCGATACACTACTTGTACATTATTTAGACTAGGAAAGGCAGAATTTACACACTGTCAATGTATATTTACTTATTTGAACTAGGCAAGCAAGGCAGGATTTACATGATTTACACATTGTCAAAATTAATTCACTTATTTGAACGAGGCAAGGCAATTTTTTACACATTGTCAAAGTTTAATTACATATTTGGAATAGGCAAGGCAGAATTTACACATAGTCAAAGTTTATTTACATACTTGGACTAGGCAAGGCAGAATTTACACTTAGTCAAAGTTTATTTACATATTTGGACTAGGCAAGGCAAGATTAACCCATAATCAAATTTATTTACTTATTTGAACTAGGCAAAACCGTTTTGATGATGTGGTTATCATTGTTATATTTACTATCAGTAGAGTAAATATAAGACTATTCCACAGAGACTGTTTTAAAAAAAGAAGAATATTGTGGTAGATTCTGCATCAGTTTGTTTATTAATTGATAGATATTGAATAGTATAATGTTCAATTGTTGTTATAAATCACAGGATGTACATGTATTTAGTATTTTAAACATTTACCTGAAAAATGATAAATTAGGATAATTATATTTGATTTCAGTGCCTCTTGTGTCTAGAATGTGCCCCAGTGATACATACAGAGTTTATAAAAGTGGTAGGTATTAAGGTTATTATTAGAAAAATCATAGATTTTCTACTTTCCATTTCCACCAAAATAACCAGATAACTCTCTAAAATCTGTTTCTTTAATGATTTTCAGATCAAATGTTGCCAAACTTTATCTTTTTTTTTTCAATGATATACGGAAAAATGTTTTCTTTCTATGTATTGTCAGCAGGCATTGTTGCCTATTTTCGTGAATAGCAAATTTAGAGGAAAGCAAGAAAATTCGACGTCATCATTTAATAGATTTTGACCAATAAAGAACTAATATCAAATGAAATACACACTGATTATGAGATAACAATCAACGGTTCAGGGAAAAAGTATTAATCAGTTAAGAATAGTTCAGGGAAAGTATAAATCAGTTAAGAATGGTTCAGGGAAAGTATTAATCAGTTAAGAATGGTTCAGGGAAAGTATAAATCAGTTAAGAATGGTTCAGGGAAAGTATAAATCAGTTAAGAATGGTTCAGGGAAAGTATAAATCAGTTAAGAATGGTTCAGGGAAAGTATAAATCAGTTAAGAATGGTTCAGGGAAAGTATTAATCAGTTAAGAATGGTTCAGGGAAAGTATGAATCGATTAAGAATTAGAGAAATAATGTTAATAGCAAAAATGAGCATATATACATGATAAAACGGATACAAATTTACCAGTATGACCAAAAACATCAGACTCTTCTAATTACTTTCAAAAACATGAAACAACTATTATAATAAAAACATTTATTAGGCTAATGATACGGACTCACACAACAAATAGTTCTATAATAATCAATAAACAAATTTAAGAATTACAAAGATAGAAATTCAAAAAATGTTAATACATAAAATTAACCCTAAAGACCAGTAGAAAAAATATAATGTAATACACATTTATAAATAGGGCTCGGGAAGGCGGGTTAAAACTGTTCTCTAAACTATGGAAATTGATACTCGACATTTCAACTCGAAATTCAAAAATAATACCAAAAGAACTTAAGTGTTTACCGTGTGAAAACTAATCTTGGAGTGAAGAAAAAAGGTATGTAATTTAACAGGTAAATGAAAGTGAGTATCAGTAGAATTCAACTGATAATCCAATAAGAAAAGTCTTGACAAACTTAGGATGACGAAAATTAAGTAGCAATTAAACAAATTTAATTCGTTAAGCCGAAAAAACAATAATGAAACCGTGAAAATTTTTAATCAGAATGGAAATTTCTTTCTCAGTAATTAATCATTTTTATTAAAATAAAAATTTCCAATTAGTTATTATTGCCATTGAATGTCAATTTTTATACGACCGCAAAAAAATTTTGTGGTCGTATATTGGTATGACGTTGGCGTCGACGTCGTCGTCCGGCGTCGTCGTCGTCCGAATACACATTGGTTTTCGCACTCTAACTTTAGTTTAAGTGAATGGATCTTTTTGAAATTTGACCATAAGGTTAAATACCACTAAAGGAAGGTTGGGATTGATTTTGGGGGTTATGGTACCAACAGTTAAGGATTTAGGGGCCAAAAATAAGCATTTTCTAGTTTCCAGACAATAACTGTGCAACGGTGTATGGATCTCTCTGAAATTATACTACAAGTTTCCATACCACAAAGGGATGGTAAGGATTTGCTTTGGGGGGTTATGGCTCAAACCGTTTAGGAATTAGGGGCAAAAAAGGGGGAAAAACAAGGTTGTCCTGGTTAATGGACAAATACTTTAGTACAAAACATAATTTAAAGCAGTGTAAGGGAGATAAATCAAATACATCATTGAAATTATCTCCCTTACACTGCTTTTAAATTATGTATAAAGTAATGGTTAATGAACAATAAAGATAATTTAAAACAGTGTAAGGGAGGTAATCCAAATACAATGTTTTAGTTACTTCCCTTACACTGCTTTTAAATTATGTTTAAAGAAATGCATATTTATAAAGGAAGACCAGTAAAAATATCTGCAAATGTTGCATCTTTTTTTTTACAAAAAAATCCATATGAAAGATTTGACACTATATTTTTAATTCTATTATAAAATAGATTAAGTTAGCACTATGGTAAATTTAAATGGGTAATTATGGTTGCCAACTCCATTGGAAATTTGAATTGAGATTATGACTATATCTTGAGGGAAAGAATTTTTTGGGGGAAAAAAGGTGGGAGGGGGGGATAAAAAGAAATTGTGGGGGGTCAATTTTTTTCTCATTTCAGATTTCAGAAATTAAAAAGAAATATTCTTCAAATATTATTTTTTTTTCAAATTTCAAATATTGAAAAATTTCAAGAAGTAATCTTTAATTGCACAGTATGGCGCATTAGATTTGTAAAATCTTTGATCACATTTATTTATTTGTTATGCCGAATCTAACAGTGTATTTAGATTTTTAATTTTGGGTCCAGTTTTCAAATTGGTCTACATTAAGGTCAAAGGGTCCAAAATTAAACTTTGTTTGATTTTAGCAAAAATTGAATATATGAGGTTCTTTGATATGCTGAATCTAAACATGTATTTAGATTGGCCCAGTTTTCAAGTTAGTCCAAATTGGGGTCCAAAATTAAACTTTGTTCGATTTCAACAAAAATTAAATATATGGGGTTCTTTGATATGCTGAATCTAACCATGTATTTAGATTTTTTATTTGTGGACCCCGTTATCAAATTGGTTCATATTGAGGTCAAAAGGGTCCAAATTTAAACTTTGTTTGATTTCATCTAAAATTGAATTATTGGGGTTCTTTGATATTCCAAATCTAACCGTGTATTTAGATTTTTAATTTTGGGTCCTGCTTTTTAATTTGGTCTACATTAAGGTCCAAAGGGTCCAAAATTAAGCTTAGTTTGATTTTAACAAAAATTTAATTCTTGGGGTTCTTTGATATGCTGAATCTAAACATGTGTTTAGATTTTTGATTATGGGCCCAGTTTTCAAGTTGGTCCAAGATAGGGTCCAGTATTTAAACTTTGTTTGATTTCAACAAAAATTGAATATATGGGGTTCTTTGATATGCTGAATCTAAACATGTATTTAGATTTTTGATTATGGGCCCAGTTTTCAAGTTGGTCCAAATTGGGGTCCAAATTTAAACTTTGTTTGATTTCCACAAAAATTGAATATATGAGGTTCTTTGATATGCTGAATCTAACCATGTATTTAGATTTTTTTATTTGTGGGCCCCCCTATCAAATTGGTTCATATTGAGGTCAAAAGGGTCCAAAATTAAACTTTGTTTGATTTCATCAAAAATTGAATTATTGGGGTTCTTTGATATTCCAAATCTAACCGTGTATTTAGATTTTTAATTTTAGGTCCCGTTTTTTAAATTGGTCTACATTAAGGTCCAAAGGGTCCAAAATTAAACTTAGTTTGATTTTAGCAAAAATTGAATTCTTGGGGTTCTTTGATATGCTGAATCTAAACATGTGTTTAGATTTTTGATTATGGGCCCAGTTTTCAAGTTTGTCCAAGTTGGGGTCCAAAATTAAACTTTTTTTGATTTCAACAAAAATTGAATATATGGGGTTCTTTGATATGCTGAATCTAACCATGAATTTTGATTTTTTATTTGTGGGCCCCGCTATCAAATTGGTTCATATTGAGGTCAAAAGGGTCCAAAATGAAACTTTGTTTGATTTCATCAAAAATTGAATTATTGGGGTTCTTTGATATTCCAAATCTAACCGTGTATTTAGATTTTTAATTTTAAGTCCCGTTTTTTAAATTGGTCTACATTAAGGTCCAAAGGGTCCAAAATTAAACTTAGTTTGATTTTAACAAAAATTGAATTCTTGGGGTTCTTTGATATGCTGAATCTAAACATGTGTTTAGATTTTTGATTATGGGCCCAGTTTTCAAGTTTGTCCAAGTTGGGGTCCAAAATTAAACTTTGTTTGATTTTAACAAAAATTGAATATATGGGGTTCTTTGATATGCTGAATCTAACCATGTATTTTGATTTTGGACATTGGACCATAATAGGTAAATTAAAAAAATTCAAGTTCTTAGACCACATTCTTTCTGTGTCAGAAACCTATGCTGTGTCAAATATTTAATAACAATCCAAATTCAGAGCTGTATCAAGCTTGAATGTTGTGTCCATACTTGCCCCAACTGTTCAGGGTTCGACCTCTGCGGTTGTATCAAGCTGCGCCCCAGCGAAGCATTTTATTAACAGTTGTTAGTAACTTTATACAAGCACTGACTTTGAAATCCTTCTACCAGGGCCACTTAGCATTAAACAAACAACAATCAATCAATCAATCTTTTCCAAGGCAGGAAATCACAACTTCACAGGAGAAAAACATTCGAGTAGTTAAAGTAGACAATATTGAATAATTCTTTCTTTCAGGATCCAATGTTCGAATAGATACAACTTTGCTTGGATTTGACAACACAAACTGGGAGCGGGGCAATAGAAGTTATGTTTTCAAAGGAACAGGTGAGTCAATAGCCCCCTTACATACCCACTCCAATCTCTGACAGCACAAACTTGGAGCGGGAATATTGGGACAGATGGTCAATATTTTTCTCTGACGCTTGATCCTGACAGTATAAACTAGGACTGGGGTAGGACTTGTCACATACCAACCTCATGACTGATTGTAACCGTATGAGGCTACTACATAGATGCCAACCATTACAATTTTTCTGTAATTGCTATGAATTTTGAACCAAAATTACGGTGTTACGATCAAGTCTACTTGTTACGGATTGTTGTTCATTACCTGCCCGGAACAGTTCCTTGTTTAGATAGCATTTTGATCATTGTGACGCTTCAATTTTTTGTCATAATTTTGTAACAATAAGCACTTAAAAGATTATTAAATCAGAAAGTGATCTATCTATTTCTTGCATATTCCGAATAATTAATGAATGCGGCAAGTACGATGTCGGATGGAACAATTGAATTTCTGCAGTAGGGAAAGAAATCAGAAATCAGAACATTATGCCTTTTGGAAATATTTTGTGAAGATTTCCATTCAGTGTGATGGTCAGTGTTCCTTACTTGCTCATCAACTTTAGTCGTAGTTGTCATAAATAAAGGAAGTCATTGGTTTGCCTAGTTATCAGTATGATTATTATAAAAAGTATTATTACAGAAACAATTTTAAATTAAGAAAATTTTAATACATTTTTACTGATTGCAACAAAGGGGGGTTGGCATCTATGCTACTAAATCACTTGTCCGTATGTCTGTTAATTATTCTGTAGAACTACAATGAGTTAACTATATCCATGTCTAGCTTTATTACTCTTCTAATCTTTTTAAGTCAGCAGGTAGCAATCATCAAAATGAACAGTATGTAAATACTTTCCTGCTTAATTTTAAAACGATAAGTGAATTTCATTATTTATTTAATTCATTCGTATAATTTATTGGTTCACTATGATTCATCCCTACATTTGTTTCTTAATGTACACATGATTCATTTGTTACTGAAAAAATGGGGGGAGGAGGGATTGATACTTCAAAACTAATTATTATTTCTGGTTTCTATTTTCATTAATTTTATGTCTTGAACAGATTGTGTGTCTATATTTTTCATACATGCAGATTGCTGATTTACCCTGTAATATTTTGATATTGCAAATACTGTATGTAGAGGGGAAATGATGGCATCCTTCAAGCAAACATGAAACAAATGAAAATTATCCCTTGCTAAAAAAAATGCCATGATTAGAGTTATCCTTAAAGAGAAACAAGAGGAAAAATGGCATTGGAAAAGTATAAACTTTCTCTTCCTTTTTCTTTTATAGAAAGAAGCGCAACTGTGATGGAAATTGACCATGATAAACGTGAGGTGTTTTCGGAAACAATGGCTATCTTACCAGAGAACTTTGACACGTCTGTGATGGACCCTTCTCCAAACTCTATTTGTGCCAGACTAACTAATCCTATTGTTACTACTTATGTAGACACAGAAAAAATATCATTTGAAAGGTAGATAACTCTGTATGTGCCAGACTAACTAATCCTATTGTCACTACTTATGTAGACACAGAAAAAATATCATTTGAAAGGTGGATAACTCTATATGTGCCAGACTAACTAATCCTATAGTTACTACTTATGTAGACAGAAAAAATATTATTTGAAAGGTAGATAACTCTGTTTCTAACTTTATGTGTCAGATACCTAATCCTAAACTACTTATGAAAACAACAAAAATATAATATGAATGGTAGATAACTCTGTTTCTAACTTTTTAATATTTGAGATATCTTATTCTACCAAAACTACTTTTAAAAACACAAATATCATTTGAAGGGTAGATAACTCTGTTTCTAACTTTTTAATATGTGAGATATCTTATTCTACCAAAACTACCTTTAAAAAAAATCATTTGAAAGGTAGATAATATAAAAATAAGGACATGTGGTGTGATTGCCAATGAGACAACTATCCACTAAAGTTCAAATGAAGTGGATGTAAGCAATTATAGGCAACCGTATGTCCTTCAACAATGAGAAAAACCCATACTGTATAGTCGGCTATAAAAGGCCCCAACATGAAAAATTTTAAACAGTTCATTTGAGAAATCTAGTGGGTTAATTTATAACAAAACAATTTATGAAAAGCAAATATGACAGACATGAACCAACAACAATCACTGAACTACAGGCTCTTAACCTGAGACAGACACATAAAGAATGTGGCGATTTTAAACATGTTTGTAAAGTCTGTTTCTAACCTTTAAACACTTTGTATGACCTTCAACAATAAATCAATTGTGATCAGTAAAACAGACGAGACATTTGAGTGTGTGCACTCTTGTGAAATATATTTATAAATGTTTAGAATTAAATACACCAAAAAGATAATGCATACACAGAATATTTTCAGAGTCTTTGGTTGATTGTAAGATAATTGTTAATATTCAATAAATACATTACTGACTGTAAATGATATACAACGCAGTACATATACAATGTATTTCATATAACTTTGTTTTTGTCGTGTTATAGAAACAAGTCAGGAATATGGGGTTGGAGAAGTGATAGAACAGAGAATGTTAATACACATGAAGCTAAAGTAGGTTATTTAGGATTTTTATTATGAAAATGTGGTATTTAAAAAAAAAAGTCTGAAGAAATTTTCTGTTAATATAAAAATAAGGAGATGTGGTATAATTGCAAACTAGACAACTATCTACCAAAAGACCAAAGCAGAAGGATGTAAACAACTGCAGGTCACTGTATGGCGGTCAACACAAGGTCAACACAAGGTCAACACAAGGTCAAAACCCATACGGTAAATTAAGCTATAAGGGTCCATGATAACAAAATGTGAAACAATACAAGAGAGAAAAGTAACAGCCTGACTTAAGCTATATAAAACTAGTTGTAATTGTGGCAGACAACAACCACCTTTCTACAGACTCCAGGCTTGAGACAGGGCCATAAAGAAGTTGTTTATCTTTAATTCATTTAAGTTGATGTGTACAAAGGATATCAAGAACATCCACATCTGTGTCTATGTGTACAGTGCAGTCATACAGTAATGCGATATGTTTATAATTTTATTTTAATTCAGATTTTAACAGATGTATCTTGGAAGGTCACATGAACACATTTTAGTGGTTCACTTTTTTCTATCGTGTGTCAACAGTAAAAAGAAAAAGGGTACAAGAATAAAAAAAATGTTTTGTTTTTTTTTAGGTTTTTAGTGCATCTAATGTTGAGTTAGTCACCAAAACTAGAACAGAGCACTTGTCTCATGAAGATAAACTTAAAAGTAGAAAGAACTCAGCAAAATCTCCCCTGGAATCATTTCTGGGGGTAGCAGAGGAGCATAATAAAAAACAAGGGGCCTCAAATGGGGTAAGTGTTTAGTACTCCATTGGAATCATTCCGGGGGTAGCAGAGGAGCATAATAAAAAACAAGGGGCCTCAAATGGGGTAAGTGTTTAGTACTCCCCTAGAATCATTCCGGGGGTAGCAGGGGAGCATAATAAAAACAAGGGGTCTCAAATGAGGAAAGTGTTAAGTACTTCCCTGGAATTATTTCAGGGGGTAGCAGAGGAGCATAATAAAAAAACAAGGGGCCTCAAATGGGGTAAGTGTTTAGTACTCCTCTGGAATCATTTCAGGGGGTAGCAGAGGAGCATAATAAAAAACGAGCAGCCTCAAATGGGGTTAGTGCTTGGTATTTCCTTGGAATCATTTCAGGGGGTAGCAGAGGAGCATAATAAAAAAACAAGGGGCATCAAATGGGGTAAGTTTTTAGTTCTCCACTGGAATCTGTTCTTGGGGTAGCAGAGGGGCATAATAAAAAAACAAGAGTCCTCAAATGGGGTTAGTGTTTAGTACTCCACTGGAATCATTTCTGGGGGTAGCAGAGGAGCATAATAGAAAACAAGGGGCCTCAAATGGGGTTAGTGTTTAGTACTCCACAGGAATTATTTCTGGGGGTAGCAGAGGAGCATAATAGAAAACAAGGGGCCTCAAATAGGGTTAGTGTTTAGTACTCCAATGGAATCATTTCTGGGGGTAGCAGAGGAGCATTATAGAAAACAAGGGGCCTCAAATGGGGTTAGTGTTTAGTACTCCACTGGAATCATTTCTGGGGGTAGCAGAGGAGCATAATAGAAAACAAGGGGCCTCAAATGGGGTTAGTGTTTAGTACTCCAATGGAATCATTTCTGGGGGTAGCAGAGGAGCATTATAGAAAACAAGGGGCCTCGTATGGGGTTAGTGTTAAGTACTCTACTGGAATCATTTCTGGGGGTAGCAGAGGAGCATAATAAAAAACAAGGGGACTCAAATGGGGTAAGTGTAAAAAAGAAAGAAGTACTAAAGTTCCACTTATAAAACAGTAAGTAGATGAAACACTCACTGCCCCAAAAACCAGAGTTGAACTCATGTGCTCCTGAAGGATAAGCAGTATTTCTAGCTCTAATATTGGCACCTGTCATTTTACTCATAGCAAAAAAAAACCCTAATAATTCACAATCAGTGATAGTGATGTTCAGATTATCGACTTTAATGAAAAGTTGATTGATTACTGAAAATTTTCTATTAATTCACTTTAATTTTCAATTATCAATATTTGATAAAAGTAAAAAATATCTGTAAAATGTATTTTTTAATAGAAACACTTTGTCACCTCACTGTAAATGTAACAAGGCCTTAAACCACCAATAAAATATTCATTTTGTACATATCCACACTCTTTTAGTGTATAGTACTCTGCAATTTAGCATATATCATTCTAATGATTGATTTATATTTGATTGACAATTATTATTATTTTGTTAAATCAGTTAATTAGAATTATCTTTCGTATAAATCTATTTTAGGATTTAACCTCCCTGTCATACAACCCAACATCTATAACAAAGGAGGAGTATTTCAGTCAACTGATTGATTTAGGTGATCGAGATGTAGGTCGACCACTCGACCAAACCACTAAAACTCAAAAGTTCAAGGCTACACTGTGGCTGTGTGAGAATTATCCTCTCTCGTTACAACAACAGGTTGTGCCAATTATAGATCTTATGTCAGCGAGCAATGCACATTTTAAAAAATTACGTGACTTTATAACTTTACAGTTACCAGCTGGGTTTCCTGTCAAAATTGGTGAGTATAGGATACCAGTAGTACTCATCATTAGTAACTGTTTACTAATTATGTATCAGAGATGTTTGTCACCTTATGAAGGATATAATAGTTGAAAACTGCTATAGTCCAGTCAGTGTTTAGTTCCTTAATACAGGAAAATTTTCATAAACTCATATTTTGTATAAAAGCATGGTTTTTGTCGAGCCTGCCACTTTTGTGGCAGAAAGCTCGACATAGGGATAGTGATCCGGCGGCGTTGGCGGCGTTAGCTTACTTCTTAAAAGCTTTATATTTTAGAAGCTAGAAGATCTGGATGCTTCATACTTTGTATATAGATGCCTTATGTTACACAGTTTCCGTCTGTCATATGTCGATTCTCCTTGACCTCATTTTCATGGTTCAGTGACTACTTGAAAAAAAAGTCAACATTTTTTGTAATGTTAATTTCTTTCTTATTATGAGTAATAGGATAACTATATTTAGTATGTGCGTACCTTGCAAGGTCCTCATGCCCGTCAGACAATTTTCATTTGACCTCGACCTCATTTTATGGATCAGTGAACAAGGTTAAGTTTTCGAGGTCAAGTCCATATATCAGATACTATAAGCAGTAGGTCTACTATATTTGGTATATGGAATGATTGTAAGGTGTACATGTCCAACTGGTAGGTGTCATCTGACCTTGACCTCATTTTCATGGTTCAGTGGTCAAAGTTAAGTTTTTGAGTTTTGGTCTTTTTTTCTAATACTATATGCAATAGGTCAACTATAAATGGTGTATGGAAATATTTTATGATGTATATGTTAGTCTCACAGGTTTTATTTGACCTTGATCTCATTTTCACGGTTCATTTCTCAGTGTTAAGATTTTTGTGTTTTGGTCTGTTTTTTTTCAACTATAAGCAATAGATCAACTATATTTGATGTATGGAAGGATTGTAAGGTGTATATGTCTGTCTTGCAGGTATCATCTGACCTTGACCTCATTTTCATGGTTCATTGGTCAATGTTAAGTTTTCATGGTTAAGTTTGTTTCTTAGATACTATAAGCAATAGGTCAACTATATTTAATGCCTAAATTGATTGTAAGGTGTACATGTCTGTCTGGCATGGTTCATCTGACCTTGACCTCATTTTCATGGTTTATTGGTCAATGTTAAGTTTTCTTGTTTAAGACTGTTTCTTAGAAACAATAAGCAATAGGTCAACTATGTTTGGTTTATTGAATGATTGTAAGGTGTACATATATTTCTCGTTTGGTTTATCTGACCTTGACCTCATTTTCTTGGATCATGTTAAGTTTATGTGTTACTTGTAGTAAAGCTTTGTATTTAGGACTATCAACATAAAATCAATGGTTAGTAAAGAAGGCGAGACATTTCAGCATGTGCACTCTTGTTCTTGTACATTGTAATGATTTATACCAAAGCGAAAGGAAAAATCCTTTTCTTTCCATTTGAAAAGGTTATTAAAATCTTTTATCATTTTAAAATATTAAGATTTTGGTTAAAAAGGTGCTCTGTTTCCATTTAAGATGGAAGATAAAAGATTATATTGAATAGTGTAGTTTCTTGTAAAGAAAATATGCTTCATTTGGAAAGGTCTTAAAGAATAAAATTGTGGCTGTAGTCCAAACTGGTGTGGCAGTTGTGGTGGTTTTACTATTCATTCAAGTGTAAAAGTTATTGATCATTTAACAAATACCTTCTTTAGAATGTTTAGAAATATTGTCTTTGTGAATCTAAATCAGTGTCAGTGTTTCATTTCACACCTTCCTGGTGAATTATTTTGAAATAGAATGTATCATTGACTCTCAATATCTTTAAAATAGACAAAGCATTCTCAACTTAAGATATTTGGTATATGTCAATGAGATAGCAACCCAAGAACAAAAATAAATGTCTGGAGGGCACCATGCAGTTGTCAATCATAGACCAATGTCTATATATAAAATGAGCAGCCCTCAGTAGTTCAGGGTCTATAAAAGTTGTGAATAATTTAGGGTGTATTCCAGGAAAAGATGTATTTGAGGTTTTGACAACACTTTTCTTTGCCCACACACCATATTTTTATGCTCCTAAGGGGGCATTTAGTGTTACCCTTGACCATCCCTCCTTCCTCTGCCCCATTTTCATTTCCACACTCGAACTTAAGTTTGCCTCATGTGAAACTCCTACATAATGCTAAGAATCATAATTCACAGACAGAGTTCGAATTTGGGCAGTGAGTCACTTACTGTTTTAGAGTTATGCCCCTTTATAACTTGGAAAATTTTATGAAACTCATACACAATGCTAAGAACAACAGAGTTTAAATTTTGGCAATATGTCATTAACCGTTTTAGAGTTATGCTCTTTCTAACTTGGAAAATTGCAAAGCTTGAGTGGGGGCATTTGTGTCTTCAGACACATTTTTCTTTTATTTATTTTCATTCGTAACAGAATTATATTTGATTCCACCTTTATTATCACAGAAAAAAACAGCATCTGATTTCCAACACAGCCATACAATTTTTTCCTGGAATATTCTTAATTAGACAGATCTGACATCATTTTACATAGAAGCAGATAAATCCCCCGACATTGTACCATGTGTATCTATTATTTACAGGAAGGTAAATCATGTGACTTTTTTCCCATTTTATTATAATGCTTATACTGTCTCCATGCTAATCTTTTGTAGAAATTCCATTATTCCATGTACTGAATGCCAGGATAACATTTGGTAATATTAATGCCTTAGACCAGTCAGTAGATGGCGTTACTGTGATAGAGAATGAAGGTACTTGTGTTGTACAGGAGACATGTTTTGATCCTCCAAGAGGATACAGTCGCTTGGGTAAGTTTACAGCCAGTAGATGGCATTACTGTGATAGAGAATGAAGGTACTTGTGTTGTACAGGAGACATGTTTTGATCCTCCAAGAGGATACAGTCCTTTGGGTAAGTTTACAGCCAGTAGATGGCGTTACTGTGATAGAGAATGAAGGTACTTGTGTTGTACAGGAGACATGTTTTGATCCTCCAAGAGGATACAGTCGTTTGGGTAAGTTACAGCCAGTAGATGGCGTTACTGTGATAGAGAATGAAGGTACTTGTGTTGTACAGGAGACATGTTTTGATCCTCCAAGAGGATACAGTCGTTTGGGTAAGTTTACAGCCAGTAGATGGCATTACTGTGATAGAGAATGAAGGTACTTGTGTTGTACAGGAGACATGTTTTGATCCTTCAAGAGGATACAGTTTCTTGGGTAAGTTTACAGCCAGTAGATGGCATTACTGTGATAGAGAATGAAGGTACTTGTGTTGTACAGGAGACATGTTTTGATCCTCCAAGAGGATACAGTCGTTTGGGTAAGTTTACAGCCAGTAGATGGCGTTACTGTGATAGAGAATGAAGGTACTTGTGTTGTACAGGAGACATGTTTTGATCCTCCAAGAGGATACAGTCCTTTGGGTAAGTTTACAGCCAGTAGATGGCGTTACTGTGATAGAGAATGAAGGTACTTGTGTTGTACAGGAGACATGTTTTGATCCTCCAAGAGGATACAGTCGCTTGGGTAAGTTTACAGCCAGTAGATGGCGTTACTGTGATAGAGAATGAAGGTACTTGTGTTGTACAGGAGACATGTTTTGATCCTCCAAGAGGATACAGTCGTTTGGGTAAGTTTACAGCAGGTAGATGGTGTAATTGTTATAGAGGATGAATTATCAGTTACTTGTGTCATAGATGTAAGTTTATAGCCAGTAGATGGCGTAATTGTTATAGAGGATGAATAACTAATTACTTGTGTCATAGATGTAAGTTTATAGCCAGTAGATGGCGTAATTGTTATAGAGGATGAATTATCAGTTACTTGTGTCATATATGTAAGTTTATAGCCAGTAGATGGCGTAATTGTTATAGAGGATGAATAACTAATTACTTGTGTCATAGATGTAAGTTTATAGCCAGTATATGGCGTAATTGTTACAGAAGATGAATTATCAGTTACTTGTGTCATAGATGTAAGTTTATAGCCAGTAGATGGCGTAATTGTTACAGAGGATGAATTATCAGTTACTTGTGTCATAGATGTAAGTTTATAGCCAGTAGATGGCGTAATTGTTACAGAGGATGAATAATTAGTTACTTGTGTCATAGATGAGACATGTTTCAATCCCTAATAACTTAATATGTTAAAATATCATTCTGCCCTTGTAAAAAACATACGATATGATTTTGGCACTCAAAGCACATGTTTCTAGTGTAAATTCATCACATACACAAGACTTATGAAGTGAGAACAGCTGAAAAAATAAAAGTTATAACAGCATATTAACTAAAAGGGTCTAGACCAATCAGCCATAACGCCTATGGTCAATGTTCAGTGATTATTTGTTTCAGGTGACGGTCACCATGAACGTTTACGAGATGAAGATGATGAACTGTTACAGTTTGCTATACAACAGAGTCTGATGGATAATGGAGGTGGTACTGAAAGTGATCAGGTAAATTATCATTACATATTGCCCTCAACCAAAAGCCTCAGTCAATATAGAATGGTAAAATTATTTGAAAAAAAAATCTATGGTGGGGTGACAACTGTTCATTAAAACATGCTTGGACTTCATCAAACGACTGATCTGACCTTAACATATGAAATTGAATATCTGCTCATCATTTGGTGCTGTTAAGCCTTCATTAATGAACAAAGACACTGTTAATGAAGGTAAAAGGGGTTTACACATTTTGTGTAGTAGCTCATTCCATAGCATTGATCCAGAATAAACAAAAGATTTCTTAAACAGCTCAGCTTTTGGCTTAGGAATTATCAGATTACCTTGAGTAACACCTCTCAAAGAGTAAGGATTATTATCTGATTTCAGTTTAAACTTTTGAACTAGGTACATTGGTGCTTCCATACGCATACATTTATATAGAAGTAAATATTTGTGGTATTTAATTCTATTTTCAACTGTCATCCACCCAAGTTTTTTAAATAAGGGGGCTGAAGGGGATAAAGGATCTGTATCTAAAATTAATCTTGCTGCCCTTTTTTGAAGTTTGAATATTTTTGTTATCCCTACATTTTCCCCAAATAATACAGCAGTAGTCAATTAGAGGCAGAATATAGCCATTATAATATGTTTTCCTAGCACTTATATCTAAAAATTTCTTTGTTTTAGAAAGAAGGTATAATCTGGATGATATATTAGCACAAACTTGGACAATTTGATTTCTCCAGCTAAGTGTGCTGTCATACTTGTTCTAAGTTGTAAATCTACAAGAAAGCACATTAATGAACAATGTTACCTCTCTGGGAACAATAACAAACAATGTTACATCTCTGGGAACAATAACAAACAATGTTACATCTCTGGGAACAATAACAAACAATGTTACATCTCTGGGAACAATAACAAACAATGTTACATCTAAAGGAACAATAACAAACAATGTTACATCTCTATTTTATTGTCCCATCTTTTAGTCAAAGGAATAAAATTTTATTTATACATTGGTTGCAATGAATTACCGTGATTTCCCAGTGAAATAAAAATCGATAATTTCACATGTGAAATAAACTCGATAATTTCACTCCTTGACGCCATACAACAATAGATGTTGTCAAGACTTTGTCGATGACGTTACATCAAAGCAAATGATTAATGCGTAGAAAAAGATACAGTTCCTTGCAATTTCTACTTTATTTCCATTAAAAAGCCGATTGTCAATGTAATAACAAGGATAACTAATCAAAGTATTGAAATATAGAAAAATATTCAACTCGTGATTGAACAACACTGATAATTAACTCATGCGCTATGCTCATTTGTGAATTAATGTGTTGTTCGGTCACTCGTTGAATATTTTTCTATATTTGAATTCTTAGATTAGTTATTCTATAAATGTCGGAGCACAAAAGAAATCAGCGTCATAAATAAAATTATTTTTTTTCCTATTTCTTACATTTTGCTTTTTTCTCTGTGTGACATACTTTTGTATGATTGGATAAAAAAACTACATAATGCTTTACTTTCAGCTAACATTCATGGAGGCATTAAATAACATAAGACCCCCTCCCCCACCTGTATCAGGGACAAGGGATGAAGAGGAGCGACTACTACAAAGGTACAGATATATCTACACAAACCACTATATACAACAAAATATAAACTTCGTATCAGATCGTAACCAAACTTGGGAGGATATTACTGTTTGGGATAGGAAAGACCAGTCCTGCTTACATAGTTGCTATCATCTACGTCATTTGGTCTTGCGTGGATAGTTGCCTAATTTGCGATCATACCACATCTTATTTTTATATCTGGGTTGAACAAACGTCAATAAAAATTTGATGAACCTTAAATCTGAAGTGTTAAGTCTTTAGTATTTGTTAATGATTTAATTAACACTGAAAATTTAATCACAGTTTAATGTAAATTGATGTTTATGTTACCCAGTCCTGATAGAATGAAGGAAAGATCTCAGTAGCTTTAGTAGACTCAGTTTTTTCAAAATTTTAATAAGTTTGAGGTACTTAGATTTTTATTGCTCCAGTTGTCAATTTTCAGAAAAAGAAATATTTCCATAATGCTCTGTGTCTCTTTTCACAAAAAATGTAAGGATAAGAATTGGTCGTAAGTTAAACTGTTATACGAGTTTCTTTAAAATAGAAAAAAATGTGAAAAATTGTTTCTGTATTGTTACTAGAGTTTCCCTTGCATGATTAAAATGAAAACTTATAAAGGTGGAATATAGGGTTGGGGGCATCCTTATAGGTCAAAGTTTAAGGTCTTCTTTTTCAAGTTAGTTTCAGGCTGGTATCCCACTATGAATTGTAACACATTTAACAGGTTTAAAATTTGCAAATGTTTATTTGTTTCTCCAAGCATTCTAGTATTTTGAACCCTTGAAATACAATGTTTTCTCTCAATAAATGTGCAGTTTTGTGATCATCAGTTGGCAGTGCTATCTTTTTACTTGTTTTTTTAGTCAACTTATTTTAGTCAGACTATGAATTAGGTATTATTCACCATTTGATTCTATTTATATCTTGTTTGCAGAGCTATAGCAGACAGCCTAGCCATATCACAGGGTAGTAATGGATTACCCACGACAACTCAGCCGGAAATGATTAGTGTGAATGATATATCATCTGATGTAGATGAAGAACTTCGTGTAGCGTTAGAAATATCTCGTCAACAAGTGGAAGACGATGCAAATCGACGGAAACAAGAAGAGGAACAACTAGAAATGATTCTGAAATTGTCTATAACTGAAAAGTAATATGTGTCTTGAACATCGCCCTTTGTGAATGGTTAAAACATCTTCTTCATGAAGATCTTTTGCAACTGATAAAATAATATAATCTATCATATGAAAAATCACATAACCTATCATAAGAAATTGCTTCAAGAAGACATTAAGGATCATTTTTTTTACATTTTTGGTAAAAACTTCAGTATAATGAAACATTATTGCTTAGCTTTTGAAATATCTTCTTTGTTAAAAGTTAATTGTTACAAATTAGCGTGTATCAAGGAAAGTAAAAATAAGTTTTATGTGGACAAAGACTAGAAGAATGTGGATGAAGACCAGAAGAATGTGGACGAAGACAAGAAAAAAAGTATCATTAGTCAAGGAAATATTAATAACTTAATAGAACTACGATATTTTGTTGCAAATCTATGTTGTTATTCAAGTTTAACAAGGTTTTTGAATTTTCATTTATAAACTGTAAATTGAGAAAAATGTAAAAATTAGCAGTGAATGACTATAAATTGCAACCAGTGAATGTAGGTCATAGGTTCTTTTGTCTATCATTGATTATTTTTATCTCAAGTAAGAAATCCTTTCCTTTCAGATGTCACAATCTTACATTGTATGATTTCAGCATTTAAATGTCTTATAAAATTCTTAAGGATGTTCGCTACTCTGTTTCAAAATAACAAGCTTTTTAAAAAACTGATATAAATTGATAATATATAAATAAAGAAACTAAAAAAGCAGAAAAAAATGAAGGGTCCGTTTGCTTGTTTTTGAGATATAAGCCATTGAAAATTTGGCGGGAAAGAATTCTCTCTAGATTTATCTTTCATTTAACATTGGCACCTTTTTTCTTTTAAAAACGTTGAAAAAAAAACAAAGATTTTATAAGATTTTCAAAGATAACATTTTAAATTATATGAAATCAAATTCTGGAAAGAAAAGTAGGGGTTAATGGGCAAAAATTTTTAATGGCACTACTTGGATAAAACCAGAGGATTCTGAATATCTGGCAAAAATTCTACTACAAGAGGAGCGAACATCCTTAAAGTATATGAACATCTGTGTTACCATGGTTACAGTCCACATAAAAATCAGAATGAGAAGCACTTGGTTTTTAGAGACTAAGAAAAGATGTCCAAGGGGAGACAACTAGATAAACATCCTTTTTGCGTAATGGAAACAATAGAATATTTGTCCTTTGATCCTAGGGGTTTTTTCGTTCAAAGAAGTAACCTTATGTAGAAATTAAATGCTTGCTCTCTGGTCATAGCTGAGACAATTTAAATAATGATTCTTTTGTCCTTGGGGACAATTTACATTGGGGAACATTTAAAATAAAAATCCTTTAAAAAGAAGGGGAAAAAATATACAGATAAAAGTTATTTGATTCATAGGGAGACAAAGGTCTTTAAACTGAGAGGAGACAAATGGATGACATCTGTTGGTCTGGAGAGCATGCTCTGTCTATGGGAAAATGTGGTCTGGGAGACAATTATAATAGACAACATTATAATTTAAAAGGAAAGACAATAAAGATAAGTGTTCGTTGGAACTGTAAGCTCACAAATCTTTGCCCTGTTTTAATTATTGATCAAACATTGCGACAGGATAGGTATGACAAAAATAAAACACACATTTAAATTTTGATAGCCATATTTGAATATAGCAATTCCTGAAACCTTTATTATAAAATCTGAAATGCTTGTCCATCATTGTTCAACAATCACAAAAATTTAAAGTTTACAGATCTTTAGGAGATAATTACAATAGGCTTGATAAGATACAAGGAGAGACAGTTGTGGTACTAGGGGAGATAATTACAATAGGCTTGATTTGATACAAGGGGAGACAATTGTGGTACTAGGAGAAATAATTACAATAGGCTTGATTTGATATAAGGAGAGACAATTGTAGTACTAGGGGAGATAATTACAATAGGCTTGATTTGATACAAGGAGAGACAAATGTAGTACTAGAGGAGATAATTACAATAGGTTTGATTTGATACAAGGAGAGATGATTGTGGTACTTGGGGAGATCAACAGAATTTATAGTCCAAGGACAAAAAGGAGTAGGCTATTTATTAATACTAGCCTTCCTCTTCCAAGTTTACCTAACTTGACAAAGGGAGGTAACTGATTAAGAATTTTAAGTTGTCAGATTTATGTGATTGACATTTATTCAAAGTAAATGTTGTTATTAATATATTTGTTTAAATTAATAAAACTAGGGGTTTTTTATTGGTCATTTTCACCACAAAAAATATAAGATTGAAGTGCAATGGAAAATGGGAATGAAATTCATTCTTTTAAATATTATGATTAAAATGTATACCTACGGATGTTAATGTATTTCTACCGATGGAAATGAACATGTATTTCTACCGATGAAATGAACATGTATTTCTACTGATGTTTTTACTGATGTTAATGTATTTTTACTGATGCAAATGTATTTACAATGTACTGTAGATAAGATAAGTCTGAATTAAAATACCATAAGTAATTGGATTAATTAGTATTCATTGGGTACTAATTTTCATAATTTTCATGGATTTAATGGGTAAAATTTTCAACAAAATACAAATTCCTACGGTCTTGTCAAAACCCAAAAATCAAGTATAGACGAAAAATATTTTTTCTTCAATTTAAGAAAATTGTTACCCACAAAATAAATGAATGCACAGTATACATATTCATATTTATTTCCATCATTTAATACAGATGGAGACAGACACAAGTCACATCATCATAAGTTTTATTTACATTTACTTAATGAGATATAAATGCTTTAGTAGCTGTAGAGAAAACGAAAGTGACACGACATGACTGAAAACTCTTTATCAAAATGGAAAAAAAAAAAAGAAAAAAAAAAAGACCATGTCTAATAAAAGAAAAAAAAATGTAGTTTGACTTTGGGGAGGGGGGAATATGGGATACTAAAACACCAAGACAAAATTATAACCAAGAATATCTTGGCCAAACAGAATTTTTTAATAAACACAAAATTGGTAGTTACCTTTTTATGAAGTGCATATATAAAGGAAACATCTGTCACTGTCTGTATTTTTGGAACGTGTTAATAGCACATCATGGAATGTTATGACTGCACCTTTCTGTAATTAAGATACACTTATTGTGCACAACAAGCAATGTTATATATGTATGTGTCTGTATTTTGATACTTTGTTAATCAGCATCTTGTATTGTCAAGTTTGTATCCATTTATATTTAAAGCTTGCTTTAGATGGTGTATAACAAATGTTACAAATCCTTGAGGTAAAATGGCAGTTTATTTGTCAGTTACCACAAGAAAGGAGCATTGGAAAATTTTCATAAATTAAAAAATTATTTTATGAAATAAAAGTGAGAAAATAAATACCACAGTTTCAATATAGTACCAAAATTCTAAAAAAAAAAAACTATTTGTACTTTTGATATTAAAGTGAATCTTTGTAAATATCTTAGAAGCAATGTTGATATGAATTTAAGATGTAAGACATACACCAATTAACAATAGTCAGCATCCTCACAAAAAAAATCAGGGGGGGGGGCTGATTAGACAGGATCCTAACAACAAGAAGAAATTTAGAGGTAAACATGAAATACTCAACTTTAGACATGACCTGTATCTATACCATATATCAAGCTCTGACAAAGTAAAGAAAAGTTGAAAATATTTTACTTTATTAAAACAAAATTGTCATGTTTTTGTAGTAAAGACTAGAAAAGTACTGAATCTATTGTGTCAAATACTGAAGCAACTGTGTCAAGTACTGAATCCATAGTGTCATTACCGAATTAATTGTGTCAAGTACTGAATAGATTGTTTCTAGTATTCAATCAATTGTCAAGTACTTAATTGATTGTGTCAAGTACTGAATCCATAGTGTCATATTACTGAATGGATTGTGTCAAGTACTGAATAGATTGTTTCAAGTATTGAATCAATTGTCAAGTACTTAATTGATTGTGTCAAGTACTGAATCGAGTGTCATTGCTTGATCATTTTTGTCAATTATTGAATTGATTGTGTTAAGTACTGCATAGATTGTGCATTGTGTCAAGTTCTGAAACTATTGTGTTAAGTACTGTATCAATTGTGTCATAAGGAAAAATCAAAATGTTAGATATTGATAGGACCATAAGAAACCATTGGATTCAGCCCTAGTTTATTAACTGCAGAACAGTAGCTAATAGTCTATAAAAATACGGTACATTCAGAATAAACAAAATACAAAGATATAAATTTTAAAAATATATACTTTTAAAAAAAGACCTTAGGAATTCATTATAAAATTTGAATAACTTGAATAGTTGTTTTGAACAAAATAATTAACTAGAAATCAAACTGAAATTTGAAATTTGAAAAGAATTATATTTTGATGTCTACTGAATTTTCCTGAGGATTATTTGACATTATTTCTGTGATGTTTTGAGAGATCTATCAACATTTCTATTGGTGCTGGTATATGTGATATTTATTTCATTTCTTAATCATTTGTAATTATACTTTGTAAATGTAAATTAAGTAGATCCTGTACACTTTTTTATCGGACAACAATTATACATTACTGCTTTATATCATTCCTATATTGATATAAATATATTGTCACTAGGATTTTCTATTTCTGTCTTTTTTTGGGGGGGGGGGGAGGGGGAGGTCTAGTTACATGAAGTGTACTACTAGTGAGGAGAATATAAGGGGGCAGTCTTTTAAAAAAACCTACCTGTTTTTCAGAAATCAATGCCTTCTTTTCAGTATAGAGAATTCTTTCTATATTGTTTGTATATACATTGAAGATGTTCACGACACTTTGCATATACATCGGATAATTTTTGGTGATTTTTCACATGATGAAACTTACTAAATTTTCAGCAACATTCATGATGGAAGGTAATTTTTTTTTGTGTATTCAACTTGTAAAGTTTTCAGCACCCTCTTTTTTCCAAAAAAATGTTTAAGTGAAACTGAAGTGGAGATGCACAAGGCCACCAGGTACTAGAACTTTTTTAAACCGCTGACTGGTTAGGATGGATTGGGGAACTGAGATATTCATTGTATAACAGAATTGTGAGTGTTTGGAGGTTGGACCTATCCCCCCTTTTCTCTCAGCTATATCAGATTAGGTCATGTTAATAACCTCTAAGGACCAATCTGTAAACCTTCATGATAGTCCAGGAAAGTTAGAAGAACAGAATTGTTACAAAAGTAGTGGAGATATTTAGACAAGTAAGACTAAATAAGTCTCTCACATCCATATATAATAAATATGCATAAAGTAAACATAAGCATTCAGATGTAAATAAAAAAGATGAAATTTCTATGATGTTTATCTGATATGGATTAGTGACCTTTTAAATGTGCCATAATTAGAAAAAAATTGTGAAGTATATTCAAAGTCACCAACAAAGTATATTATTATTGTAAATTTTTGTTTATTTCTACACTATCTACGAATAATTTATACAGGTACCCTGAATTTTGGAATGTTGTTTATTTCCGCAATAAATACCAGACAGTTTATTCAAGTTACATGTACCCTGTTGATGGAATCTTTTTAATTTCTACAATAATTACTAGATAGTTTATTCAAGTTACATACAATCATACCACATCTTCTTATTTTTATATACATGTACCCTGCATGATGGAACCTTGTTAAAAGCCCTTACTAGACAATTTGTATAGATACCATGTGTAATTTAACCTTGTTAATTTCTACACTTAAGGTTAGATATTTTTCAGTTAGCTATGATATAATGTGAGGAATGCATAAACAGTAAAACTGTAGATAAATATGATTCTAAATACAGTTTTATTTCAGTACTATAATGTCTGGTTGTTTATTTCCCTGCTTATAAGACTTATGAAATTGCTGGCTTGATTTGTTGTCAACTACGTAGTGATACTTCCGTATTGTGTTGAGAGTTTTTATAAACTATAATTCCAGCAGTGTATAAATCATTGTAAGTGTCATGTATATTATTTGCAAATTGATATTGTATAAATGACCCGCAGCAAGTCACATAATGAAGCCTTTTTCATCTACAAGATATTAATTTTTAATTGATTGTTATTGGACCTGTGAAGAAAGTTGTTGTGTGCAGTGTAGGTTAAATATGCTTCATTCAAAGTAGATTGATTCTCATTTTGTCCATTCAGAATAAATAATGAATAGTCAAGCAAACTTCCATACTGCAAGAAAAGATATGTATGTAGACACACCTCCTTTTCAATAACATAAAGGGAGATAACTCCATACATACTGTGCATGCAAGAAAAAGACATTATGTAGGCACACCTTCCCCCTTTCAGTAACATAAAGGGTGATAACTTTTAACATCAGTATTATGCTTTTGTAATTGGCAGTTTTGTTCATTCTTTTTAAGCATTCTTGTGAAACAGAATTAAATTTAATCTTTGTTCCTAAGAAGCTTATGATATAATTATGAAAATGGTTGATACAAATGTAACTGTGATTTGTAAGAGTTGTGTCCCTTAACATAGGTGTTCACCTTCACCTATCTTCTTCATGCCAGTCAGTGTTTAAGGCCAGGATACATTCTTTCCATTTAACACAGTCTTTAGCTGTTTTCCTTGCTTGGAAGGAAAAACCAAACAGCAAAACTTGACCCTGCAGGTTGTAGGTTTCTCGCATGGCTAATCACCTGGCAGAGTAAAAAAAGCTGATTACGGAAACCCAAGATACATTTAATACTTAGGCCTACACCCTCCTAATTCCTGATTTATATCAAACATTAAACTGTAAACTGAAACACAAACCTGGGTCACCCTAATAAAAGGATGGACATACATGAGGATCTTTTTATATTATCTGACCTTGTATTTATTATTTTTTCTGGCAAGTAATATAGAAATATATATATAAGTATATATATTTTAAAGCCTGTGTTCTGTTTATATGATGTTAAAAATATTTTTATTTTTGTTGATTTCTGTCTGGTTGATAATAAATATACTTAAACATGGATTGTTTTTTAATTATTCCCCACGCAACGAGTTGCGGAGGGTATAATGTTTTTAACCCGTCCGTCTGTCCGTCCGTCCGTCAGACCGTCAGTCCTGTTTCTTGTCATCGCAACTCCTCTCAAACCACACAACAGAATTTCACGAAACCTTTTTAGATAATAAGATCATACTATGTAGTTGTGCATATCGACAGGAAATTACGATCTATTTTTTTTTCTAGGAGTTACGCCCCTTTGAACTTATTTACTTTAATGTACTACTGCAACAGTTTGTCATCTCAACTCCTCTGAAACCACACAACAAAATTCATGAAACTTTGTAGATAATAAGGACATACTACGTAGATGTGCATATCGACGGGAAATTACAATTCAATTTTTTTTCCAGGAGTTACGCCCCTTTGAACTTATTTGCCCAATATACTACTGCAACCTTTTGTCATCGCAACTCCTCTTAAACCACACAATAGAATTTCATGAAACCTTTTTCAGATAATAAGGACATACTACGTAGATGTGCATATCGACAGGAAATTATGATTCAATTTTTTTTCTAGGAGTTACGCCCCTTTGAATTTATTTGCTTCAAAATACCTCTGCAACAGTTTGTCATCGCAACTCCTCTGAAACCACACAACAGAATTTCATGAAACTTTGTAGATAATAAGGACATACTAGGTAGATGTGCATATCGACAGGAAATTATGATTCAATTTTTTTTCTAGGGGTTACGCCCCTTTGAACTTATTTGCCCCAATATACCTCTGCAACAGTTTGTCATCGCAACTCCTCTGAAACCACACAACAGAATTTCATGAAACTTTGTAGATAATAAGGACATACTATGTAGATGTGCATATCGACAGGAAATTATGATTCAATTTTTTTTTCTTATAGTTTTTTTTTCTTACAGTTATTTTATTTCTCCAGTGACAATGTGGGGACGTGGGGTATGTGAGCGCGCTCACTAAGGTTCTTTAATTATTTTTAAAGTATTGATCATGCTTTTCTTGTTGGATTTTAGAAAATAACACTATAATAAATATTGTGCATCCAAAGCATTTTTCTGGATAACATCCACTAGGTATGCTCAAACCTAAACATCTGAAAACCTGAGTTGTATAAATAATCAGAAACGTTTAGAGATATATGACTAAAATGGATCAGAAAAAAGAATAGCCAAATTAATCTATCAAGTAAACTTTGCCTAATGGAGTTGGTAAGTGAGTTTCTGAGTAATTTAATGTGGAGCCTGTGATTTCTGTCGCAGAAAATGAGACATAGGGATAGAGATGCCTTATGTTATGAAGTTTCTGTCTGTCATATGTCTATTGTCCTTGACCTCATTTTCATGGTTCAATGACTACTTGAAAACAAAGTTAATATTTTTTGTAATTTCATTCTTTAATATCATGAGTAATAGGATAACTATATTTGGTATGTGCGTACCTTGCAAGGTCCTCATGTCTGTCAGACAGTTTTCACTTGACCTCAATCTCATTTCATGAATCAGTGAACAAGGTTAAGCTTTCGTGGTCAAGTCCATATCTCAGATACTTATTGGGTGTATGGAAATATTTTACGATGTACATGTCAGTCTGGCAGGTTTTATTTGACATTGCCCAAATTTTAATAGTTCATTGCTCAATGTTAAGTTTTTGCGTTTTTGTCTGTTTTTCTTAAACTATAAGCAATAGGTCAACTATATTTGGTGTATGAAATGATTGTAAGGTGTTTATGTCTGTCTGGTAGTTATCATCTGACCTTGACCTCATTTTCATGGTTCATTGGTCAATGTTAAGTTTTCCTGATTAAGTTTGGTTCTTAGATACTATATGCAATAGGTCAACTTTATTTAAAGCATGGAATGATTGTAAGGTGTATATGTCTGTCTGGCAGGGTTCATCTGACCTTGACTTCATTTTCATGGTTCATTGGTCATTATAAAGTTTTCATGTAAATATAAAAAAATAAGAAGACGTGGTATGATTGCCAATGAGACAACTCGCCACCTGAGACCAAATGACAGAAAAATGATCTGGTCTGTTTCTAAATTTAGGACTATCAACATAAAAGCAATGGTCAGTAAAGCAGGCGAGACATTTCAGGGTGTCCACTCTTTGTTAATTCATCAACTGGAATTTTAGCAGAAAATTGTAATAAATCATGTCATTACCAAAATCTCTGACTTCTGAAATGTTGATACCCTATGGGACTAACAGTCTACTGAGATGATGATACCCTATGGGACTAACTGTCTACTGAGATGATACCCTATGGCACTAACAATCTACTGAGATGATGATACCCTATGGGACTGTCTACTGAGATGATGATACCCTATGGGACTAACGGTCAACTGAGATGATAATACCCTATGGGACTAACGGTCTACTGTGATGATAATACCCTATGGGACTACTGAGATGATGATACCCTATGGGACTAACAGTCTACTGAGATGATGATACCCTATGGGACTAACTGTCTACTGGAACTAACAGTCTACTGAGATGATACCCTATGGGACTAACAGTCTACTGAGATGATGATACCCTATGGGACTACCCGGTAACTGTCTACTGAGATGATAATACCCTATGGGACTAACAGTCTACTGTGATGATAATACCCTATGGGACTACTGAGATGATGATACCCAATGGGACTAACAGTCTACTGAGATGATAATACCCTATGGGACTAACAGTCTACTGAGATGATGATACCCTATGGAACTAACAGTCTACTGAGATGATAATACCCTATGGGACTAACAGTCTACTGAGATGATGATACCCTATGGAACTAACAGTCTACTGAGATGATGATACCCTATGGGACTAACTGTCTACTGAGATGATGATACCCTATGGGACTAACAGTCTACTGAGATGATGATACCCTATGGGACTAACTGTCTACTGAGATGATGATACCCTATGGGACTAACAGTCTACTGAGATGATGATTCCCTATGGGACTAACAGTCTACTGAGATGATGATTCCCTATGGGACTAACTGTCTACTGAGATGATGATTCCCTATGGGACTAACCGTCTACTGAGATGATGATACCCTATGGGACTAACAGTCTACTGAGATGATGATACCCTATGGGACTAACTGTCTACTGAGATGATGATACCCTATGGGACTAACAGTCTACTGAGATGATGATACCCTATGGGACTAACAGTCTACTGAGATGATGATACCCTATGGGACTAACTGTCTACTGAGATGATGATACCCTATGGGACTAACAGTCTACTGAGATGATGATACCCTATGGGACTAACTGTCTACTGAGATGATGATACCCTATGGGACTACTGAGATGATGATACCCTATGGGACTAACAGTCTACTGAGATGATGATACCCTATGGAACTAACAGTCTACCAGCAATACCAGAAATGAAAATAACACTTAAAAAATTGCATGCATCATAGGGCTTTTCTGGATTTACCTTTATCAGGAACTTTCAAACCTTAACATTTGTACTGAACAGTTGAAATTGAAGGGAACTTCATGCAATTTTAGTTGCTGCTGTGAATTTCAGTATTGAGACAATGACATTTTAAGATTTTTGGCTTTCATTGCCTCTGTATTAGGTTGACACATGGTTACAGATAGGTCAATCTGACAGAATTATACTGACTCAGGAACAAAGTTTGAGGTTTGTGGACTAAATTCAGAAATTAAAGGTCAAAGTCAAGGTCAGTACAATGCTTCTGCATACAAAGTTTTGCAAATTTAAATGCTACAGTAGTTGTGTACCACACACAATTGGACAATGTTTTACTATCATAGGAGTCAAAGTGACTAGACTGATAAATGACACAACCCAATCCAGAGATACATCAGCATACCAGTTTGGTCAACCTTAGTTTTACAGTAAAAAAGTTATGAACCAGCAGTGAATTGGACAAGGCTTTACTTTCGTAAGGGTCAAGGTCTGAATGACCTAATGTTGCTATATGACACACCCCAAACTCATGATGCAACTGCATACTAAGTTTGGTTAACCTAAGTTTTACAGTACAAAAGTTATGAGCTGGACAAGAATTGGTCATGGTTAAACTCTCATAGGAGTCAAAGGTCAAAGTCAGAATGACCTGACATTGATATATGACACAACCCTAGCCATTGATGCAACTGCACACCAAGCTTGGTTAACTTAAGTTTTATGGTACAAAAGTTATGCACAGGACACACAGACAGACAGAGAATATGGTGCTTCTTATATACCCCCAAACTTTGCAGGGGTTATAACAAGACACATCGAGGCTAGTTTTGGTCTTCGTCCTTATTTTGCCCAAGTACATGTATTAGTGTAAATTAAAAAGTTAACATACATAATCTTAAATTTGTCCTAACTTTACTAAGGTATAAGGTGTTGAGAAAATAAACATTCAACCAATCACCATGGCAACAAACCATGACAACATTTTGCAAAATATCTTGATTTTCCTCGTTTTACATCAACTTTTACGTATATTTTGAATTTAAAAAGTAGGTGCACACCCAAGAAACAGTTTTATATTTGGTGAGATCAGAGATTATGAACTAACAAAGCTTCCCTTAAAATTATTTTATTGTTTTTTTGGCAGCGCACGATGAAAAAAAACACATTTACATATTAAAGTTTGGTGATATCCCGACCCAATTATATTTATTTCAATGCAAAATCATAATCCTTTCATACTTATTTCTCATTTACCCGGTAAAACAAATACAATGTTTGACAACTAAAATAGACTTATTACAATTATTTTATTAGTTTTCTTTAATCAAATACAATCAATTAGATTTTAGTATATACATACATCTTATCAGAAAATGAAAGGTTATGACCCATTGATATATTACCTTGGTGAAATAGCACCCCATTGACGTTTGACATATAACAAAGTGACACATTTCAGTGTCTGTGTAAACCTTCATTTAGGCTCAGTACTGTAAGTAATAGGAGAGTTTTGTTTGGCCTATTGT